CCGCGAAGACTCGCCCGCCAAGACGATGGGATTTGCATATCTTGTCCAGCTGGAAGTTCTATTAAATATGATCCCGGCGTTTCAAAGACGAGACGCGCGCGCCAGGCGTCGCGTCTATGTTTCTCGCGAAGCCAGAGAATTCCTCGTAATACTCGTGAAATATATCTGCCCCTCGTCTGCTGCTGCGCGCCGAAGAAAGCTGAAAGGAAAGTGAGAGAAGGAGAGAGAAGGAGAGAGAAAGAGAGAGAGAGAGAGAGAGAGAGAGAGAGAGAGCAAGGAAGGATAGCGAGAAGCATTCATTAAGGAATAATTTTTGCATTAATGCAGCGTAATTTCATTTGCGATTTTTCTCCTCGGTCAATTTACGTTATTGTTGCCCCTTTTAAGCGCCGTTTCGCTCCTTGATCCTTAATGAATTTAAAAAGGGGGAACGACCGCGGCGAACGTTTTTCACTGTCACTGTGTTTCGAACGTTCAGAACTTGAGAGTGGGTAACTTCGAGACACCTGCACTTCCTCTCTATCGTCACGATTTTTATTGATACCTACTTTCTGCATTTGCGCCCGATTGTGAATTTTACGCGTCGCGTGGCCATGAATCTTCAAAAAGGGAAACGTAAGTTTTTCCGCGCGTAGATTCACTCGTTCGTAACGTGGAAAAGTAAATTGAGTTATCTAGGACCACTCTCCGTGGGTTAAAGTCGTTATTCGTTCGTTTGTTACGAGACAAAGCAGACAGCCGGGCGATTAAAAGTCACCGTCCCCCGTTGTTCGAACACGGAGGAGGGTTTACCAGCGAAGAAACGATGATCGGAAAATCCGCTCCTCTCAGCCAACAGCACGTGAACCCAAGAGTAGGTTTGCCCAACGTCTTGGAAAATTTTCGTAATAATCGCGGCTGAAGGAAATAAATTTTTTATAAACGTTTGTTAAACTCTTTGGTGCCACGTTTGTCGTCGGTGGTAATTAAAGCGAAAGCACCAGAACGGATGAAAATGACAAATTTTCCTCTCTCAGTTTCATTGCTGGTTGCCAGCTCGAGCAAACTTTCCAGCGTCGTTGCATTCTCACTGATCACGCCAGTCTTACTTATCGTTAATCTCGCTTGTTGCGAATTGTTTCCAAAGTCGAGAGAAGTCGCGAAGTCGAGTCAGCCCAGCGGGAGGAACTCGAGGGATCGATAACCAACGACGAGCTGTCAGCGATCGAACGGAAGGCGCGCGCGGTTATTCATAAATATTAAATGCAGTTTTAAATAAATTTAATCCAGGATTCGCGGGAATTGAATATTCATTGGCGTTATTGATGAACGTCGTGTTTCATTCATGCAGTCTGCGTCATTTCCCTCTCCCCCGCGGCTCCGCTGTCCATCGGAATCAATTCTTCTGGCCGCATTGTTTCCTTACTCCGGGATCCGCTGATCCATTTAATGACTTCTGTGAACGGTACACTTTGTTTCACGACTGTACGTCTTTGTTCAGCGGGAATTAAATAGCACGCCGATTATGCGTTATATAGCAGAGGTTCGTTATCCCATTATTGCAACACTCTCTGTAACAGCTCGCTCAACGAATATTTAATTATTACATAATTAATTCGTCGGACAGTAGTCAGTTTCTTAGAAAATGCACAGAAGGTGGATAGAAGTGAAGAATTTTCCAAAAATTGAATGAAACAATTTGGCTCGTTGTTCATCGAATCGCGTTGCGTTGGAATTATTAACCACTTGCGCTGGCAACTGGTTCGCGGACCATAACGAGTGACCAAGCCGTATACAATAATTCGTCGCTTCCTTTTTGAACTCGTCGGTGTGATATTTATCACTGGACAGAAATTATTGAGAAGTAATAAATTTATTATTTGCTTTGCCTAGGTTACAATTAAATGTGGAGATATAATATAAATAATATTTATTTAATGAAAATTATGATAATAGCACATCATTCCAGCGCAAGAGGTTAAAGCGTTTCTCCATTATTGAAATATTCCCTGTAATAGCTCGCTAGAACAAACGTTGCTTACTTATTTCGAATAAATGTTATTCGATTAATTCATCGAACAGCATTTCTCAGAAGCAAACAAAAGCTCGACACAGAAGAAATGAAGAATTTCCAAAAAATTCGAGTCATTGTCCATCAAATCACGTTCCATCTGGGAATCTTTAAAACGTTCCCATTTTCTATAAACAACTCGAATGTTACTTAATGATTTTCGATAATTAATTCGTCGGAACAATGTTTCTCGGAACTGATGCACGGAAGAATTTCCCAAAAGTTGCTGCTGAATAGAGCAATTCGATTCGAATCACTTTTCACCGGAAACCCTTATCAATCATCCCCGTACGAATCGTTTCCTGCGTGACTTATTTATGAGTCAACGGGCGTATATCTCGTGTCGATTTCATCTCGTTGTTAGACAATTTCTCTTCCCGCAAATTTCCAGGAAGGGGGGTAGGGGGTGGAAGAAGGACGTTGCCGAAAGTAAGAGAGGTCAAAGAAATTCCAGCGGTGCGGCGAAAGACACGGAACTTGACGATCGACGGAGAGTAACACGGATACCAGACGGTCGAACGAAAGACGGGGGTGACACGCCGTGGTGTAGAGGGAGTCGTGTAACAATGTCAGTCTATCCGGGTTTGTTCTGCCCTACTTCGTTCCCTTACGGCAGCTTTTGTTCACCGACCGGGCCTCCTCTCCTTCGGATCAGATCAGATTACCGGTCACGAGGCGCTTTAGCCGACGAAATGCGGGTTTCCATTGCACCGAATTGGCAACGTAAGGGGATTGGGAAACGCGAGACTGCCTGCCCCCGTAACTCTTTCTTCGCGCGATCCACCAAATGGGAAGGGAGGAGGTCCAGGTCCCTTCTTTGGTCTCGAATGTCGTTGGAGAATCCCGCTTCTCTTTCTCTTTCTTCAAACTCGTTAAAGACGAAACGACAATTTGTTATAACTTTATATTATATTGTATTATATTTATTTGTTATATTAAACACTTCGAATATGAATTTACAATTAGCTAATACAGAGGAGCATATAGATGGAAATTGTACTGGCAATCTTGGTAATGTTTCAATCAGGTGTAACGTCCTCTGTTGATGGATATTAAATACTTCGATCATCTCGGTTTCGTAAAATCATGGAGGATGGTGGAGATCTTGCGCTTCAAATTCATCCTCTTATCACAAATAAGAAACTCACTCTTTTGCACATCAAAGTTTTCTACAAATTTCTCAAGCCATTGCAATGACAATAAAATCCGACGTAAAGTTACTATTAAAGAGAAAAGATTTTGTTGAGACCTGTGTGATAATATTTGAACGAAAAATAAAATTAACATAAAATATTTATTTCACGCTGAAAGTATTTATATACACGTATGTAGATTGATTTATACAGGATAGTTTCATGTACACATATGTAGATTCATTTATACGGGATAGTTTCATGCACATGTGATAATTATGACAATCTGTAGGAGTGATAGAGTGCAACAGAATGATTAATAACATTCACTAAATATTTATTGTTTGAAGGATCAGCCAGAATATTTCTTGCACAGAATTTGATTTTTGGGAAAACTTTAATGGAGTTTATCCATTGGAAAGTAATAGTGTTCCTTGTCAACAAGATCAATAAGATCCAAGCACTTCCTGAATTTTTTGGAGGCTTAAATTGGCTATACTTTGAGTGCTTACATGGACGCACAAGTAATTACGAATAAAATCACAAAGAATGTCAAAATTTTGTCATTACTTTTAAGTCACCTAAAAAAAGGTGAGTTTAATTCGCAAAGGGTTTAATTTATAGTAAAACGGAAATGGGTTAGAAGAACAAAAGCAAAAGTGCAAAAGTACGGAGCGAAATTTCCTTTGAAATTCTCTTCCGTGGCCGCACTGTTAGAAAATGGATTTTCACAATGTCAGTTGATTGAGAAAAAAAAAAAAAAAAACAATTACGAACGAAAAGAGAAGCATACTTGTATTTTTCTTCCACTCTCAACTCATTCAAGACTTGCCAAACGACAATATTATAATACTGTAATTTTGTCAATAACTTTGACTATTTTCAATGTCACAAAATTCCACAAAATTTTCAATAATACTTTCACAAAATGATTGTAGAATCCGGAAGAAGTATCGAGTCCCTTGGAATTGCCTTTCACAGCCACGCAGTGTTGGAGAATAGATTTTGATAACGGTCGGTTGATTGAAAAAAATTGCGAATGAAAAGGGACGTTCTTTCGTTCATCTCCGTAGCAACGGGGATGGAATTTTATTTATCGAGCGCACGAGTGGTTTTGTTTACCTCCACCTTTCGATTGTTCTCTTGGAGAGACGTCGGATAGATGGGGCTAAGTGGGTACAGAAAGTGGATTGGATGGGACCTTTGGACCCTTGGAAGTGTCTCAATTATATTGCAGTTCTTTGAGGGGGAAGATTCGTGAAGACGGGTTGAGTTCGCCCTGCGAGGGTCAGCGAGAACGTTTCGTGAGAAGATTCTCCCTTTATATCGAGAAAAGGGTTTGTGTTTAGAGGAAGGTTAAGCGTTTCTTTTGTTTCGTCTTTGATTAAGCGTGTTATCGGAGACGATCAATAGCATGATAGGTTAAACGATGAATTCGTTTTATTAAGAATTCAGCTGTAATGAAGATTATAAAGTTACAGTGTCGCGAGTAAGTCGGACAGTGCAGGCAAACTAACACGGATCAAGCAGTGCGCCAATCACAATGTCAGTCAGACTTGTTAAAAATCTCAAAGAAGCGATCGCTTTGTCCCATTGACTTTCAAACGGTTTCGAACGGAATTGTAGAGACCGTGAACGAGGAAGATCAAAGAGAATGATCAGATTTCGCGATTCTCATCTCTGCGTGAAACTTTTGTCGACGTTGATGTTATTTAAGAGCGCATTGTGCGACGCTCCGATGCGACCGGAAAGAAAAGCTTTCGAAAGCGAAACAATGACGTTTAAATTGCAGATAGAGTTTCAAAAGGATCACTTACCCGTGACAACGACGTTAATCGTTTTAACCAACGGCGGATGCGTGGCGACTTGGCACTTGTATAAGCCGGAGTCCCGCGGCGTTGCGTACTGGATCTGTAATCTCCAATTGCTCGGGTACCTGTGACGTCAGAAAAGAAATAGAAAATTTCACTCGGCCGTGTGTGTGTGTGTGTGTGTGTGTGTCGTCAGAGTTTCCGCGTGCGTTCGACTTCCACGGCTTTATAAATGTCAACGATTCGAAGGTTAGGTGAAAAATATTCGAGCTACGCGACTTTCATGGCACTTTGTGACAAGGGAATCTCTCGTCGAAGATAGAATTTCCCGGCGATGTTGGTAATGGCTTCGATCAGGATTTCACTGCATCGCGAAATCGTAGTAATTTTCGTCCAACACGAATGCAAAAAATTCCTCGTTCTTTTAAAATGGATATCTGTGTCACCGCGGTTCAATGCATAAATTTTTGCTCGAAAATTCGATTCTTGTTGGGATAGAATGTAATTAAAACTTTTCAGATCAGGAAATTTTTCGAATTGAAGTTGATCAAGCTGTCAAGTTTATGTACAATTTCCAGTTTGTTACTTGTCTCTCTCTATCGAATGCGAAATATTCTTGTCCTTTTAAAATGATCTTTTCATATCATGATTCAACGCATCAATTTTTCTTTAGATTGTCGGCAAGAATAATTCGATTTTTGTTAAGATAAAGTATAATTGAAACTTCTCAGATTAAAATTTTAAAGGTTGAATTGAAGTTAATATTGTCAAGATTGCGTATAATTTCCAAATTAAGTTCGTTACCTAATTATGTCCCTCTATCGAAATCGATCATGGTCAACTAATTTTCATTTAAATATTCTTTTAACATGAACGTCAAATTTTTTTTCAGCTCGTCGACAAGAGTAATTCGATTTTTGTTAGAATAAAATATAATTGAAGCTTCTCAGACTCGAATTTTCGAACTGAAGTTAAAATTAATTTCAAGTTTATATGCAAATTCAATTCGTTACTTATCGAGATCGAGCAGTGTGTCGAAACATGGTTAAATCGTAGTAATTTTCGTCCTGTACGAATGCAAAATATCCTTTTAAAATGGACATTCGATCGAAATACCTCAGGTTTGAATCAAAGTTACGATTACACGGAATTTCGTTGTTCATCTTCCCGTGTCGGAATTGACCTCAACGTCAATTTCCACGCGTTTCTGGAACTATCGAGTCGGAACGTTTGTCGTGTTATTTCGTTAATTTCACTCACCGAAAGTTGAGGCTGATCCTTTGATCCACGCTGTAGGGGATTCTACCGAAGGTGAGTAGCCGGAACGAGTCCTTGCTCGGCTGCTGCACCCACGTCACCTGGATCGCGACGCAGGAAATATCTTTCGTTATTGCCTCATAAATCACGGATTTCTCGGCGGAGTGAGAGGACACAGTCGCGTTTCCCCGAGCGGAAAAGAAGCGTCGCATTGTTTCTGGCAGACAGCCGTGGAATTAAGCGGAATCTCGTCGAAAGTTAATAATTTCGCGACAAGGAATCAAGGGGGAAGCCTCTCTCTCTCTCCCTCCAGAGAGTTGAATCGTTCCCGAATGAATGCGCCGTGCAATTTCACGCTAAGCGTTCGGAGAAAGAGCGGCTTACGTTTCCGCCTCCCACTTTCTACCTCCCTTCCCTTTCAACTCAGGCCTCCTCCTGCCACATGATTTTCACAGCCGTGTATTTTCTTTTGCTCTCCCTCTTTTTCTTTTTCGTTTTTCTTCTTGCATTCACCTATCCATCCGCGAGGAAACTGTTTCACGCGGTACGTGACGAGTGTCGTAATACCAGGGATGTATCAACCTGATGAAGCGTCGTCGAGTTTGTCGAGTAATTGTTTAAGTCCAAACGGGATCTCGTTCGTGTATCTCGAAGCTTAAATTTGTTTTCAAACCGACATGGCGAAATTAAATCATTCTTCGCGAATTCTTTCTCTCGCGTTAAATTCGTTCGACACGAAATTCGACGATTTGGAATTCGAAGCGGACGGTAAAGCCGTTTGTAAAGATTTTTACGCGTTTTTTCGAGCGTGGTCTCGCGTTACCTGTTTTCCTCTTTCTTTTTTTTTTTTCTTTTTTTTAAATAAAATATCGAACGACTCTTTACTCGCATTTGTAAAACAATAACATTGACGACGGGTGGAGGAGGAGGGGGTTTCTCGGTTTGAAAGCGATAGAATTTCATCCGGGGGTCGCGTATCGTGCGAGCCAATCGATCAAACAATAACGCGACGCGACGCGTCGACATCGCATCGGCGAAATATACTCGATAATCGGCGCGCGACTATCGCGCGCGTCGCGGAAACCCCCGCGGCGGAATGATACGCCATTAAACGAACAACGTTTTATGCAAATGTTCTATGGAATCCAGACAGGGATTTGTTAATTAATCGACTGTGAACGAACTTGAATGGCGCTCTGGGAATACAATAAGCTCTCCGCGATACCAGTGACACGCGATCGTTGCCAGGTGTTGGCGGAATTCACGATGAATTCCGACAAGCTTTCAGAAGTCTCGAGCGTTTGGAGAAAATTGTCGGCAGGGCCGTATTGTTCGTGACGTGAATTATCGTTACTTGATAATACGAATGGCTGACGCGCTCGAGGCAAATTAATGGTTCTTGGACGATTTATTGCAGACGATGTATCGGCACTGAATCAAATAAACGTGTTGTTTCTCTACGCGTCACTTCGGTTCGTAGATTTCAGATTTTGCGTGAGAGGCGACTTGAGCCACCTATCGATGCCGATTCCTGTGTAATGGATTCTAAATATTGTAAAAATCGTTTGTGAACTTAGGCGTAGATTTCACTTGTAGTTTCACAGTGTAGTATGATCAGCTTGTAGTTTAATTATAAGTGACAGTTCCTACTTTTTCCGACACAAATTTGCCAGTTGATTCTACGAGTGAAAATAAGAAAAAAAGTCATATTCACAGGCGTGAAGAAATTTGAAATGTAATACAGAAAATTTTCGGTCTGTATTCATAAAATTGGATGACACTTTGTTGCTAACGTATTGTCAAATATTGTCTTACTTCGAATTCTCCTTGACGAAGAATTTTTGAGCATACATTTTGTACGACATTTTCATTCATAGAATCTACTGGCAAAGTTATGTTGAAAAATGTAGGGACACCCTGTACATGACCAGAAAAAGCCACAGAATCAGGTGGGAACGATTCAAGCCCAGAAAATTCGAAGATATCGAAGAGAGAGTCATTGTTAAAAAACCATTGCACAGTTAAAATCCTATGTTATTAATTGACAGATCTAATTGTGTAGTTTAGTTGCACAAATTATCCGCGATATCAATTATACATCATATTTTTAAAATACAGTACATGTATATATTTTCAACATCGGTCATCCTGTTTCTATTTCATCGATCCACTAAATTATTAATCGACAAATCATGATACCAGAAGACCGTAGCCATTTTAATTCGCACTGATTCGAGCATTCGCGAATTCGATTCCGCCGCCGTATCGATAGCTTCTTTTCGTTTATGGTTGCTATCGTCACCGAAATTGAAATATGAATCCATCGAGCATCTCTCCCTCTCTGTCCCTTCTTTTCTGTTTTCCCTCTCCCTCCCCCTCGAGCTGATCACGATGCGAAAAGTTGGCCGACTTTCACGGCCGCGAGCATGCTAACGAATCATGTTTGCAATTATAATCGCTCTCGTTTCTCATTCCCATTTTCCGGCTCGCCGGCTACGTTTCTCGATCAGACGACACTTTTAGAGATTGTCCAAGTATTAATTAGTATCAATCGGCACGAAATTTCCCGATCTTCCTCGAGATTTCCTCGGCGACAAATCTATTTGAGTTCCGAGGCGATTCTATTCAATTCCGTTCGTGCCGTTTGGTTTGTGCACTTTGAGAAATTTTCGTCTCTTTGAGATTCGCGTATTTAAACGCGCTTATTAAATTTTGTTAAATGTCGCAAATTCTGCGAAGCGTGAATCGCGTTGAGGTCCAGTCGATTTGCGATCGAATGGTCACTGATGAAAAATGACGATTCGTTGCAATACAAGTGTCCGAGATCATCTTCTCTCGAAACGAGTAAATCATCTCGAAAGTTAGCGCTTTCAGCAATTTTTCTATCTCGATTTAAAAACAGAGTGGCATCTGTCACTCGCCTGGCAAGAATTGAATTACATTTCCCATTCTACGCGGAGAAACCTCGAGATTTTAATAAATCGCCATTTTTCAAATGTGAAAGTCGAGGGAGAGTCCGTCTACTCTGAGAGTCTACTAATGAATAAACGGCGATTCGTTAACGTCTGTGCGAAATTATTTATACCGAGAAGAAACACAAGTGTCCGAGATAACCTTCTCTCGAAACGAGAGTAAATTCTCTCGAAATCAATTTTTCTATTATTCGATTTAAAAACAAAGTGACACGTGCCACTTGCAGAGGAAATTCAATTACTTTTTCCATTCTATGCGGCGGGCTTCGAAATTTTAATGAATCTCAATTTTTCAGACCTTGATACGAGGAAGAGTTAACCCTCCAAGATTTAGGGCTACCACCAATTCCGCGGTGTTTTTAAAGAAAAAATAAAATAACGTTATATATACTCAAATTGAAAATAATTTTCTATTTGAATATTATGTATTTTATATTATTGCACTTTAGAAATATAATATTCAAATTTTAAGCTCTATAATTCTGTTTGGTACGGTATTTCAAACTGGCAGCCTACTTTTTTAACTTTTCTATTTGAATGTTATGTATTTTATATTGTTGCATTTTGGAAATATAATATTCAAGTCTTAAGCTCTATAGCTCTGTTTGGTATGGCATTTCAAACTGGCAGCCTATTTTTTTTAACTTTTCTATTTGAATGTTATGTATTTTATATTGTTGCATTTTAGAAATATAATATTCAAATCTTAAGCTCCATAGTTCTGTTTGGTATGGTATTTCAAACTGGCAGCCTATTTTTTTAACTTTTCTATTTGAATGTTATGTATTTTATATTGTTGCATTTTAGAAATATAATATTCAAATCTTAAGCTCCATAGTTCTGTTTGGTATGGTATTTCAAACTGGCAGCCTATTTTTTTAACTTTTCTATTTGAATGTTATGTATTTTATATTGTTGCATTTTAGAAATATAATATTCAAATCTTAAGCTCCATAGTTCTGTTTGGTATGGTATTTCAAACTGGCAGTCTATTTTTTTAACTTTTCTATTTGAATGTTATGTATTTTATATTGTTGCACTTTAGAAATATAATATTCAAATTTTAAGCTCTATAATTCTGTTTGGTACGGTATTTCAAACTGGCAGCCTATTTTTTTAACTTTTCTATTTGAATGTTATGTATTTCATATTGTTGCACTTTAGAAATATAATATTCAAATTTTAAGCTCTATAATTCTGTTTGGTACGGTATTTCAAACTGGCAGCCTATTTTTTTAACTTTTCTATTTGAATGTTATGTATTTCATATTGTTGCACTTTAGAAATATAATATTCAAATTTTAAGCTCTATAATTCTGTTTGGTACGGTATTTCAAACTGGCAGCCTATTTTTTTAACTTTTCTATTTGAATGTTATGTATTTTATATTGTTGCATTTTGGAAATATAATATTCAAATCTTAAGCTCTATAGTTCTGTTTGGTATGGTATTTCAAACTGGCAGCCTATTTCTTTAACTTTTCTATTTGAATGTTATGTATTTTATATTGTTGCATTCTAGAAATATAATATTCAAATCTTAAGCTCTATAGTTCTGTTTGGTATTTCAAACTGGCAGCCTATTTTTTTAACTTTTCTATTTTGAATGTTATGTATTTTATATTGTTGCATTTTAGAAATATAATATTCAAATCTCTCTCTATAATTCTGTTTGGTATGGTATTTCAAACTGGCAGCCTATTTTTTTAACTTTTCTATTTGAATGTTATGTATTTTATATTGTTGCATTTTAGAAATATAATATTCAAATCTTAAGCTCTATAGTTCTGTTTGGTATGGTATTTCAAACTGGCAGCCTATTTTTTTCATATTAATGTAAATTAGGACAGTGAGTGACAGTTATCGCTGGAGTGCAAAGGATTAAACACCTGTTTTGAAGCGGTTAAAGATCGCTTGAAAATTTCGCATGCACCGACCGCGACGTTACGTATACGCCATCCGGTTTCTTGAAATTCCTCGAGACGCTGGACGAAGAGCATTCGTGGCGCGATACGAAGGTCCACGCGATATGAAATTTCGAGTCTTCCGAGACTTTCTGAAAAGTCCGTGGAACTCGCCGCGTTTCTTTCTGGGACAGCGGGAACGCTATCGCGACTCTGCTCGATAAGAAAATCGGTTTCTAGAACGGAATAAATAGGATACACCGCTCCAGGAGAGAGAAAGAGAATCTCTCCCAGAGGAGTACGCCAGCATAAATTTCAATGATAGCGAAACATAGTCGTCCTCGCGAGATAGTAAGAATTATAGCTTGACTTTCGATTACTTCGCTCGCCCGCTTCTATCAATCGTCATAAGAGCCTGCGAGATCCAACAAATTCGAACCGTTATCGTAACGCACGGCCGTTGATACGTCATCGTTACTCTATATTCTATCTTCGACATACTATCGATTTCGGTTCGCTCATTAGGAATCTACTCCTCTACGCGTCGATGCAACGTTTCCCGCTTGCGATATATACTATACAGGGTGGTTAAGTGGGGCCACCAAAATATCTTTTCGAATTGTGACGATGCAAAAAAAAAAAATATCTTTCGCCTAACAGGAATTGGTAAGCATTTTTTCTAAGGACTTTTTCAAGGTCATCGATACAAATATATATATATATATATATATATATATATATATATATATATATATATATATATATTTTTTATCGTGTCGTATAGTTGGTAAAAAAAATAAATTAAAAGATATGTAAAGAAACGTAACGTTGGAAATTTAAGTTTCACGTATAAATTTACCTCTACCATCAGGGTCGTAGACCTTGGCCAAGACAGGACAATCGAAACTGTATATATTTCCGATCAATCCGATTCTCTTTCACTCTCGAATCACCGTTTATGCAATAACAGTTGCAAAAAATTGTAAATTAAATTACAAACTGGCGTTCAAGTCTCGCGCGTTATGGTTTAACGAAACGGAGCAACATAAAGAGAGGAGGGGGGTGCAAGAAACGAATGGAATGTTTCTATCTCCGTCTTTTTTTATTTTTATATACACGCGTGTAACGATATTTTGCTTTTTGCTCGATTTTTGTTTTTTTAATCGCATGCAACGAACGTTATCTCCGAAAGGGAGAGGCACGAGATCGATCCGAGCATTCTCTCGCCTCCAGCTTCGTCATCGAGGCACAGGGCCTTTTTATCGCCCGACACCGAGATCATAAAAATATAACAAGGCCGTTGCAGCTGGTTTTTCATCACGACATCGCGAGTTGCATCAGCCACTGCAAAAGCAACGGGGATAATAAAGGCAACCCAAAGGGCAACGGCGACGGCGACAGGAGGGGGACCGTTGAATTAGATAAACTTTGGCCGCTGCAAAACGAAACGTTTCGTACTCTGGTTAATACTCTGGTGAAATGAAACGAATGTATCGGATAAACGAAGAAAAAAAAAAAAAAAACGAAAAATCGCTGATCTATGATCAAATGCCAAAACGTCACTTTATTTTCAATTTTAAGAAACAAACAAACGAACAAAAGGGACGTTTTAGGCTCAATCGCTTCTCTTTAAATTTTCGTTTCTTACAGTCTCGGAAGCTGAAATATCATCCAACGCGCGCGCGCGACAATAAAAATAAATCAGCGTTTCCCCTTGTTTATCGTATTTCCTCTTTACGTTTCCGTTCTTTATGAAACGCGAGATATACATACTTACGAGGGACGCTCGTCTCTTCTCACCCAGAAGGCGTCTCATCGCGCGATAATAGAAATAAATCAGTTCAGGCTTCCCTGCTCATGTTCGTCTTTCTCTCTCTCGGATGAAAAATAGCATGGACGCGTTGTTTCAATTCGTTAATTTTGTTTAACCCTCGTTTTTTTCAATACTCACCATTGATCGATGATGAACGAACAAATTTTTGGAGATCTGTCTCGCCGCGCGATAATAAAAATAAATTGCTCTTTTTCTCCCCATCGGACAAAGTCTGCCTCGAAAAATAACAGGACGCAGTGTTTCAATTCGTTAATTTCATTTAACATTGTCAATGATCAATAGTGAATCGATGAATGGGCAAATTTTTCGAGACCATCGTGTGATAGTGAAAATAAATCAGTCCAGGCTTCCCTGTTCTCCCTCCCTCTCAGACAAGTGTTTGTTCCGAAAAATAAAAGGATGCATTGTTTCAATTCGTCAATTATATTGTTCATGTTATTGTTAATGTTCAACAGTCGATCGATGAAATTTTTCGAGACCTGGATTTTTGTTGCAGCCCCACTACTTTTCAAACTATTTACAGTGGCGGACAAAGGTATTCGTATACAGCGAAGAAATAACAAAATATATACCTTGTTCTGAATTTGCATTTAAACAAGGTATTGAATCATGAAATGTAAACTCCATCTTTATATATTTATTTCTCTTAACTATTAGTATAAATGCTACATAATATTTACTAAAATAAAATTATTCATTTACGAGTTGTAACGACGATTTTTTATTATTTCCTCGCTGTGCGAATACTTTTGTCCGTCACTGTATATACATGAAACAAAAAAAAAAAAAAAAAAGAAAAGAAAAGAAAAGAAAAAAGGGAGAAAATTACCTCCTTATTGCCAAGCATGCCGATCTTGCAGTCGAGCAGCATCGTGCTCCCTATCCTGGCAGTGACGTTTATCTCCTGATCGCCGTCCTCGAAGTACGGCCCGAATTTACCGAACGCGCTGTCCACGCTGGGCAGCACGAACTTCCTTCCGGGCAACGGCCGTTGGGTGCTGCTCGGGTTCAGCTGATCGGCCTCCATCTCGGTCTTAATCGACGGTTTGATCTCGTAGAACGCCTTCGTCGACTTGCCGCCGGCCAACACGAGATTGTTCACCGGCCTCGAGTGATCCTTCCTCGGCTCCATCGCGTTCCTCGCCTGTTCGTTGTCCTGCTGTTGCCTCTCCGCGTCCTCTGCAACCTCCTCGGCAACCGCAGGCACTTGGAACGAGATCGCTCTGATGTCCTCCGCCGCGTTCTTTCGCTCGATCGGTTTCACCACTGGCGTGGCGATCGTCTCGCGTGTGGACGCGGTCGTGAGACCGATCGTGTCCTCTCTCTTTCGAGAGTCTGGCTCAGGTTCCTCCTCGTGGTCCACCACGTTCGACAGATCCTGGTCCTCGTTTCTCGAATCGGGCAACCGGATCTCCAAGGGGACGATGCTGGACGCGATCTCCGCTCGATTCGGACGAGTCGACGCGACGAAGTCGTCGTTCGCCGGTTGCGCCTTGCTCCCAGGATCGTTGCTGCGCTCCGTCGACCTCAACGGATCGTTAGTGTCCTGTTCGCGGACGTCGTTGGACGACAACAAGTCGCTCTGATCCCTCTGTAAATCCGCGGCGCCGCTTTCGTTCGCTTGGGACGCGTTCGCGTGGCTCTCGCGATCGGCGAGAGGGAAGTAATAGGTGCTTCTGGTAGGTGCTGCCGTGGGAGTTTCGTTGACAGTGTCGTTGACGCGCGCGCGAAGCGTCACGCCGGCGGCTAGGTCGTTGGCGACCGTCTGGTTCGCGGTCCTCTCGTCCTCCTCGTCTACTCCGCGATGATTGATGCTGCTGGACTCGATGGCACCGTTGTCCGCCTCTGTGACAGGGAGAAAGAGAGATGAATCGGGCAAGTTACACGCTAGGAGAGTCAGTCGTTTCGTTTCCGTGGACGGGGGAAGGACAAGGGGGGTTCGCCTTGTGATGTATACCTGTGTTGATAAAAATTGTAGTGGGTAGGTGGGTAGAACAATGTTGACCCGGAATACCGTGGAGAGATCACGTGTAATAGATGATCTTTAAATAGTATCAATACTATTAAAAGTACTATTATACTATTAATAGTATATAGTATATAATTATAGTTATATTATAGTACATAGCATATAATATTAATAGTATTAATATTATTGTAGTATTATAGTATATAGTAGTATAATATATAATAACCAGTATTATAGTATTAATAGTACATAGTATATAATTATAGTTATATTATAGTGCATATAGCTACTAATAATACTAATAATATTACTAATAATAATACTATAATGCTAATACTATTAATATAATATTAATAGTATTAATATTATTGTAGTATTATAGTATATAGTATATAACATATAGTATATAATATTAATATTATTGTAGTATGCAGTATATAATATTAATATTAAGTATTAATTATATTTTAGCATAATAGTATTAATAATATTAATACACTGTATATAGTATTAATGCTTCTATAGTATATAGTATTAATACTCTTTAAATGACTCTTTAAATAATATTTATTTTGGATGCCTGAAAAAAATCCCTTTGCGTGCAAATGAAAGGCGAATTTTTCACGAGAAACGAAAATTTTATTGGACAAATTTTATTGGTCCTTTATTGGACCATATATTGTTTATTTTGTTCGATTACCTTTGCCAACTTGACGATTCCGCGTTCAACAAAGTTCTTACTTTTCTCAACAAAAAATAGTTCTACGAACGCGATTTGACATCGACAGTGAAATTTAACAAACTGAATTCTGACGCTGTGGTTCGAAGCTTCTTCACCATACACGTCAAATAAATTTCTTTATAAGCTTGTACAGCAATTATTTTATTAAAATTTCCATCGAGTTTTTCTTACTCCAAATTTTCCAAACTACACACAGTTTCGCGGTGTAATCATCGTAAAAGCTATGAATAATACCATTCCAAACGATAACTGTTCAAAAGATATACCCGTTCATTTCAATGAACTTCAAATGCACGAGCGACGCCCATTGAAATTAGTAGAAGTTTAAATAATTATCGTCGGGAAACTGACGAAGATTTTGAAATTTAGCTGGAGTCGTCTGAGAGAGCGGATCTCCCTCTGTTTCACTCTTTTTATTTCATCTCGATTCGACTTTCCGTCGCCGAGATATCGTCGTTCGAACGAAATGGAATTTGTTCGATGATTCTCTATCGCTGTCTCTGTCGCACGCTCGGACCTCTCACTCGCACCACGTCACTGACCAATCACAGCTTGGCTAATAGTGCGCTGGTCAGTGACAGACAGTGTCTACAAGTTTTTACTATTGCTACTACTAAGAGTACGCATTTCCTGGAAAAAATGTAGGTCAGACGGTCTTGGAGCCCCCATTCATAATTCCGTAGACTCGCCACGTGCATTACGTACGTACGTATATGGCTGTATCTCCGGAACCAATTGGGATATCGACTTGAATCAAAATGCACGATAAAAGGCAGACTTTTGGCTACCCTCTGGGTGGATAGCAATTAAAAATTTCGCGATTGTTGAAAAAAATATTGATGCATTGTTTACTCGCTGCCACAGTTATTCTGAAACGTCTCCGAAGATTATTGATATTTTAATCTCCCTCCGTAAAAAAAAAAAAAATCGTACAGCAAATTTTAAGGAATCGTTGTGAAGGGAAGGCTTGAAGCTTTAGAATCGCGAATTTAATTACGAAAAAAAGTCTTTCTAACTCCCAACAAAGAGTTATTTGAGTTTAGAAAATTTTCAAGATTTTGAAAAACAAATGCAGTATTTTGAAAGCGAAAAATTTACATTTTAAAATGAATATGGGTTGGTAGGTTTAAATTGTTTTATTAAGAAGTTAGAGTAGTTTAAAATGTAGATAAATTTTTTTAAAAAGTGCGAGAATCGCAAGCCAAGTGGAAAAATTATCGACGTATAAAAATGTATAATTGATCTTGGTATTCTTCTTAGAATTTTATCATTCTTACTGATCCCATCTCGCGTGACAAATATCAGAAAATCTCTGAAAACTGTTAACATGAAGTTGAAGTTGGCACGTTAGAAAAAGATTGAACGTGGATATTATCTTCCCTCGTAATAAGAAGTAAATCCTCGCGATCAGAATTTCGAGTTCGAGTGCCTCTTCTCGCAGGCAAACATCTCCGAATGCTCTTTTCGTCTCGCTCTTCTTCAGCACGCTCGCTTCGAAACGCTCGTTGTTACATTTCAATTGCCGCGTCGATGCATCTTTTAGCATCCGTTGAAAAGTGACGTTTTGTCATCGCGTGAAAGCGACCTGGGTTCCCGTGCGTTCCTCGTTCGAGAATGTGTAACGAGGAGAAGAAAAAGAGAGAGAGAGAGAGAGAGAGAGAGAGAGAGAGAGAGAGAGAGAGAGAAAGAGAGAGAACGTCGCAGCCTCGGGGTTGCACACACGCCCTGTACTTTCCAGCGAGACTTTCGAGCTTTCATTTGTAATTTCACTTCGAAACGGATATCTCGCGAGCCTCTTTTCCATCGAACTTCTTTCTTCACACTTTTCTCGACAATTCGCTCCCTTTGAACTTCGTCTCCTGTTCTTACGTTCTTGCTCAACTACGCGTGAAATGGGATTAATAATGATCACGATGTGATTCTTGGACTTAACGTGGGATGGTAGACAGATGAATCAGATGGTTTTTACGTACGCCCCGACTAGCCACTTGCGCTGGCAACTGATTGCGGACCATAACGAGTGACCGAACCGTATACAATAATTCGGTCGCTTTCTTTTTGAACTTCGGTCGGTGCGATAGCACTGGATAGAAATTATTGACAAGTAATAAATTTATTATTTGTTTTGCCTGGGTTATACTTAAAACTGAGATATACTTAAAACTGAGAAAATATTGTAGTTTTGGGACAAAAAATTCTCGACGTGCGTGGCACGTCATTCCAGCGCAAAGGGTTAAGGACCGCAGACTTGTGTGTTTTACGCGCGAAGTGCGAGTAAAAATTAAACAAAAAGAGCTGGAAATTGTGGTGTTGCTGGACATTATGCAGCTTTATTTTGAGCACTAGAATTATCGAGCAGTTTATAATTTCTGTTAGACATTTTGCAGACGCGAGACAATGTATTTCAATGATTTCTCAATGTAGAATGTATAAATAAATATTTGCCTGCGTACTCTATATTGTATCATAAAAATTTTAATGCCTCTAATGCCTTTGAAATTTAATGGTTTAATCATTGGTGGTTCTAGCCTTATCAAAATTATTCGATGCGATAGATATTAGAACGATAATATTTCATACCGAGTGAAAAATTAATTGTCTCTTTCGTTTCTCGAAACAATCTTGAAAAGGTCGATGTTTATGCTGTACGAGGGCGAAGCTTTCTCATTTAATCGTCGTCGACAGGAACAGTTAATAAATTACATAACAGTTAATAATTAATAAATTAGCAATCAGGTCGATAAGAAATTAACAGTAGCAATTAATAATTAGGTCAACAATCTCGCTTTGTCTGTTCCTAAGTGATAAAAGGACAAACGTAGCATTTCATTCTTATTATAACGAAGTGCATTGAACGAGAACGAAGGAACATATTACGTATTTATGAGGGAAGCTAAATTCATACGCGACGTCTGACTGAAACTCCTGGAACAGTCTGGATGGCAGTCCTTTAATACATGCTATCGCATGAATCTTAGATGGGCTCGCAGATTCTCGATTATTTAAACCTTCTTTCTTCCATACATATATTTGATCTTCCACGTTGAAACATCTAAATTCCGAAATTTCCAACGAACGCGAAGAACATTATACAGGGTGTTTCGTAACTTGTGGGATCTGATTGTTTATGAGATTCTATCTTCGTTTATGAGATATGAATTTTATAAACAGAGAAAACTCTAGTAAACTAGTTTTACCAGGGATGGTATATTCAATTTTCAACACCAGTTTAGTTTAAACATATGGGCAGGAATAATTGATAAATTTTTAATTGGACCTTTTTTTCTTGATGGGAAACTAACAGGCACAAAGTACGTTGATTTTTNCGAGCACGCGTTTACACGAAATATTAGAGGAAGTTCCAGTCGATATTAGATTATTCGTATGCGGTTTATGCATGATGGAACTCCGCCGCATTTTAACCGAGTGGCTACGCAATTTTTAAATCAATACTTTGCAAATAAATGGATTGGTCGTGGAGGTCCTATTGCATGGTCTGCTCGTTCTCCGGATTTGAATCCATTAGATTTTCATTTGTGGCGACATTTAAAATCTATTGTATACGCAACATCAATTGAAAATGCTGAAATACTACGAAATAGAATAGAGCAAGGCTTCCGACAAATTCGAGAAACACCAGAAACGATAAAGAGAGTAACCAGATGAATGACAAGACGCGTGCAGGCTTGTCTTCAAATGCAAGCTGGTCATTTCGAGCATCTTTTTTAAAAGTAATTAAAACAGAGAATTCATGATATCTCATAAACGAAGACAGATAGGACATATATTTATATGACTTTTTTCCCATTATTTACAATCAGCTCCCGAAGTGGGTCCCACAAGTTACGAAACACCCTGTATATATACGCGCTAAATATTCCGCGTTTTATTCTTTGGCTCTCCATTTTTTTTTCTTTTTCTTTTTTTACGACGATTAATTCTCCCGGACTTTCTGGGAACCTCTGGAGGAAACGGCACCCCGTCTTATCGCTCGTTCTTTCCATACGTTGGCGCGAGAGAGCCGCGCCATTTACCGCGGGAATTACAACCGCGGATTAAAATTTCGTCGCGTTCCTGCGTGGCCGGCATTCTAGGTTGGTATGTCCTTTTCCGTTCCGGGAGAAACGAAATGGCCACTGCCGTTGCGGCCAGAAAAATTCCAGACGACTGTCGCGCGCCGCCTGCTGGTAACAATGCCACCCGCCATCAAATTTCTTTTTGTCGCGTAGCCCAGCGTGTTCTCCCTTCCGTTAAAAAAATATCGCCACCCCTCTCTCCCTTCCTGGTAAACTCCTTACGACACTAGATTACCAAAATTGTCAAAACCAAGACCAATTTATAATTTTTTTATATTTTCGGAAATTTTATATATTGACAGCGTATTTAAGAAGAAAATATCTCAACAAGAAGCTTATGTTCGTTTTCTTTTACCTCGCGCTTCAATTTCTATAACGAATGCTATAGTTTTTAGCGTTAATGCATTTCTACGCCGATCTGTCAGATATTTCAGGGCTTGCGTTTATCTTGACGCTAAAACCATCGAAGCGTAAAATTTTCATCAGACATTGAAGTGAAAAAAAAAAAGATAGAAAAACTTTATAACACAGTGCACTATGTAATACACACATTCTACACATTCTATGAAAGATCGTTCAGATCTTTTAATAAATGCGTTGCTTTACATCTATTTAAATTATGAATTGGTCATTCTGATCATTTCGGTTTTACTATTCGTTTTTGTATTTTATCATATACATATTTTGTATTTCACTACATTGTTTTGACCATTTTAGTAGTTCCACTGTTAAAAGAAAGAAAAAAAAAAAAAAAAATAACGTATAATTCTTCGTGATAGAATTTGTCCGCAAAAGGATCTAGTTCCAACGTTTCTTGCACACGTTCGAGTGTGTTAGAAATTCTAAGAGAACGAAGGAAGAAAGAAAGTGAAGCTTGGTTACTATTGTGAAAAATCCTACACGATGTAGCGTCGTGGATAAGAGAGAGAATCAAGATCGAAGAAACTGCCGGCACGGTTTTAAAAGAAATGTTGACATTTACGTGGTCCACATTTTTCACGAAAGATCAAAGAAAAGATAGCTGGAAAAAGAAGCGCTGGATTTTCGCCTGGCGGGCCGATCTTTCATTCTTCGACAAAATTGAAATCTCGCGGTACAACGTCCAGCGAGAACTTGCAATTCATTTAGGATGATGTTTGCGTTCGCGTGAAGACACGTGAATTTACGTGACTGGCGGGTCGTTCGCTATCGAGGAACCAATCGTAAAAGCGCCGCTAGACGCGCGTGATTTCTCCTCGAACGATCTTGTAGATCACGTAGTAACACAATGGGGCAACGCGCCATGAATCGCGAAAAAACGAACGTTAAGAAGCGTTTTTTCGTCCGAAATGTCGGGCGAAAAAGTTGGGCTAATTTGCCGTAATTACCGGGCGAAGAACGAGCGATCGGTCATGTAACTCCGCTTAATTGTAGAACGTTGCACATCGATCATAATTTGCCGCGATTTGCAGCCGGCGCTCGCCCCACGGATTACTTTTGCCGATGCTTTTTCACCTCGTTACCAGACCGATTCCTCTTCTTTCTTTCAGAAAGCACCGGCTCTTTTTTCGTCGCGATCCTCGATGGATATCTAGAGGAAATGTTGCATTGCGAGGCGAGAGAGCTCACGCGAGAAGCGGAGGCAATAATCGCCTAATCGCGACTTGCCGAGGGGGAAATCGTGAAGGAGCGGAGGATGGTTACGCGAAGAAGTTTAGCGGAGAACGTTTCGATGGATTGTGGACTCGATCGTGGAGCATCGGGAAGTTGGCTTCCTTTTCGAGAAAAGGAGCACACAGTGAAATCGAGAAGCGTTTTCTCAGAGACGAAGTTGCGAGCAAGTCGAAGTTGCAAGGACTCGCGAGAAATCCAAGAGTTGGATGTAAATGGAATGGTTCGAAGTTTGTACGCTAGTACGTGATTATTAGTTTTCGTCTACGTATGTATATTCGATTATTTTGATAGCAAGGCGAGAGGGCTGACGAGAGATCAGAAAATTAGATGTGGATGGTTAATATTGAAAGTATGTGAGTTTATCGGTGTATTTATATTTAGACGTGTATTTTATATTCTATGTTGTCCAAATAATAATTCGACTATTTTGGTAGTAAAGTGAAAGGACTAAGGGAAACTCAGAATATTAGACATAGGTTCGAGATCGACACGAATATTAGTGAGTTTTCATCTACAATCTTCGATTATTTTGAAAGTAAAGTGAAACGACTGAGAAGAAATAAAAAAAAAATTAAATGTAGATGGTTAATATTAAAAATTGCTAATATGTTTATATATTTTATAGTTAATTCAATAAATGCAATAAAATGTATTTTATATTTTATGTTGTCCAAATATTTTCGACTATTTTGGTAGCAAAGTGAAAGGACTAAGGGAAACTCAGAAAATTAGATTCGAGATTGCTAGTATGCGAATATTAGTGAGTTTTCATCTACAATCTTCGATTATTTTGAAAGCAAAGTAAAACGACTGAGAAGAAATAAAAAAAAATTAAATATAGATGGTTAATATCCAAAATTACTATATATATTTTATAGATAATTCAACTTGTATTTAGACAACATGTTATTTAAGATTTTTTCGATTTCTATTTTGGTAATAAAGTGAAAGGTGACTAATTGTAAGGAGAAATTAAAAAATCAAGTATAAATTGCTATTATATGAAGTAATATTTAATTGACTTATTTTCCCTATATACAAAGAATTGCATGAAATTCTTTGATCACACTCTTGACGCAACATCAATAAAAATTGGAAGACAAGTTTCTTGAACAATTTACTTGAAAAAAAGTTCGATGGCGAGCGCTAGGATTGCTTCTTCCTCTCACAAAAAAAAAAAAAAAAAAAAAAAGAAAAAAACAAAAGAAAAAGAAAAGAAAAGAATGAATTCAGATCCTCAATAACTGCAAGGTAATTCCTTTTAACGAAGACACTTGCTGCTTTCTGATAAGGAATAACAGGAATTTCTCGCAGACGTGACTACGGTGTTTGCAACTCGGGCCACGAGATATATCGAAACGACGTTTCTTTTTTGAATCGACGCGATTGATCTTCGGCGGACGGGTTGTTTGCGCGTAAACGAATTTCAGAGATTATTTCTGGCTGGCAGGCCGTATCATAAAAAGCGACGAACTGTGATCTCTCCTAGTTTTATGTATGTGTGTGTGTGCGTGTGTGTGTGTGTTTTCAACCCAATCGATGGAGCACGGTAAACGGTCAAAGCGTTTATCGGCCGGTCGAACGGAATCGCTTACGCGGCGATACGTGCTACCGGAGTAAATAATCGCGTTCGTCGCGAAAATTCGTCGGACTTTGCACATCGCCGATGCAAAACCAATAGAAACGGCACGATAATAAAATTATACTATTCTCGTCAATTTCCATTCAACATTTTGCGTTTGGCCGCAAGACGCGGCCAAATTGCATACTTGCTGTTTTCTTTCTCGTTCTTCGTGTTCCGCTTTGAAATGTCCCCAATTCTCCCGTTCGTAGGTTGTTTGGAAAAAAGTATGGGGCTAATCGATAGAATGATAACGGATGCGTTAAAGAAAAAAATGTGTTCGTATCGTTCTTTGTGTTGGTAAAATTACTAGTGCTTGAAGTTAAAGCACGCAGATTCGTTGCTGTGAAATTAATTGAATTAGTTGAAATAGAATTAATTGATTATTTAGAAAATTATTTAGTAAAAAGAAAAATTTAGTAAATTATTTAGAAAAAAGTATAGGATTGTAGAGTGACAATTGGTGTGTTCGTTCTTCGATTATTATTAATTATTAGTGCTTGAGGCTAAAGTACGTGGATTCGTTGCTATGAAATTAATTGAAATAAACATTATTTAAGTAAGTTATTTAGAAAAAAATGTATGGAATTATAGAGGCATTGGTGTGTTCATTCTTTATATTATTAAAATTATTAGTGCTTAAAGTTGAAGTATGTGGTTTCGTCGCCGTGAAATTAATTGAATTGGAGATGAGATTATTTATTAAATAACGGAATGGAGCATTCGATGTGTCCATATTTTTTCATTGTGAAATAAAAGAAAAAAAAAAAAAAAGGATTGCAAAGCATGGTGGAATGCTCACCTGACGGCGTGGCAGTGATCATGACGGAAACAATGGCGATGACGCCGAGCGCCGATGCAGTCGGCCGCATTCTCCAGCCGGTCATATCGAGGATCCGCTCGCTCTCAGCCTTCAGGGATCTGCTCCATCTCGTTCATCTTTGTTCTACGCAGAAGAAACCAAATTGTCACGTTACATTCTAAACAATCGACAAACACATTTCTATTAAAACACGTTTCACTTATGATTAGTCAATCTGTTAATACTGTTATAATGGATGGATGGATTTAAAACACACAATTTACTGGGCAAAGTGTGAAAATGTTAATATAAAAGATCAAATATAAAAAATAAGGTTTGAAATACTAAATTGCATTTTGTCTGGTACAATTTACTACTAGATAAAGTAAAGAAACAATTTATTATTAATTTATTATTATTGTTATGAAGAGGATTTAAAGGCTTGGCCAACAGACTCACTGCTACATGCAATGGAGTTAAAATACACAGTTTACTGGACAAAGTGTAAAAACATAGTGTTGATACAAAACAAACAGAAACACAAAAAATAAGGTTTCAAGTGCTAAATTGCATTTTGTCTGGTACAGTTTACTAGATAAAGTGGCAATTCACGTGCACACACACGAGTCGCGATACTGTTTTTCGCTCAAATCTTTATCCAGATTCATGCGCTTTAAAATTATAAATTGCTGGCTATCGATATTTTTATCCCCGTAGACTGAATCTGTATTTTTCATCGTAATTACGAGAAGTTCGTTTCCTTGCGCGAAAGGAGCAGAACGTTGTAATGAAATTCCGCGATCGCTGCGTGTATCTCGTTAAAAGAAATTTTCTCAAGTGGCGATTTTTCAACATTTTATCAAACGGGAATCGATGCAGCGTGTAACTCCGAATAATTTACGTTACGTTAGAAATAAGTATTAAATTCTCCAACGTGCGAGTAACGAAGATTTTTAACATTACTCGCCATTGCTTCATGGTTCTTGCCACTTTTTCGAGGATTTCATTTGTCGAGTTCTATTTTCAATTCGCGAGCCACACAGGAACGCACGTGCGTTGAAATGAATTTTGGAAGACAAAAATGGGAACAATTCGAGATTCGGTTGAATTCATTGCATTCTCCAATGTATCGCGATGAAGTGAATTGCCGATAGAAGTGAATTTTACAAAATTCGGACTATTCTCGCCGCGCTGTGATATTTTTATTGTGATATTCCACGCGTGAATCGAGCTTCGTAATGCACGCAGATTTCAGTTACAAATTATAATAGAGACGAAAGCCACGTTTCTTGAAAAATTATCATTATATATATTAAATTTCTGAAAATAATAAAATCAAATAAATAAATAATTATAAAATAATTATAAATAATTAATAATAAATAATTAATTATAAATAAATAATAATATATAATAATTATAAAATAAATAGTATTATTAAATAAATTATACAAATCAGTTCAACCATTTAAAAAAAAATTTGCCTCCCGCAAATTAGCATGGAATTTTTCTAGCCTATTCGAAACCAACGTCATTTAACGCTGACTGCACCGAGGATTCAAGAACCATCCGCGATCCATGCGTATGCCACGCGTTAACGTTTCAACCATCGGTTAAATCCAGCCGCGTTAGCTCGCAAATCCGAACGAGTGGCGATACACGTCCCAGTCAGATCGATCTCGCCCTATCATTTTCCTCCATGTATCAAAATTACCCAGTTGTGAACCATCGCTCAACTCGGCCACGACTCGTTAGCGATTTCGAATGTTGCGCTCGCTTCGACGCGGGAAATCCATGGGAGATTCACGCGGGGTAAACAGAGTGACACCGACAACAGAGTCGTACGTATCCCGGGGAAAATTTCAACCGCGCTGGGATTCCCCTCGGGACTCTACGAACGCTAACTACGCGGGCATAATGTTTGAATCGCCGGTTAATACGCTGTCTGTGGATACCCGTGACGCAGGTAATTATCACAGCGAGAGAAAGATCCTCGTATGTACAAGGTGGAAAGAGAAGTTTGTCCGTGGTTCGATTTGATGGAGATACATGCAAAGAACCTGCCGCAAAATTGACTTCGACTTTTTGAATTTCATGGTCAAATTTTTTCACGAAACCAAGGAACTATAGGTTGCAATCTAATAGTTTTTCTGGCAAATGGCAAAAAAGTTTAAGTCTTAGCGACCTTATGGTTTTGGACACGTGGACGTCTGTATTACGTAATGTTTATACTTTGAATGAAGTTTGAATAAATTTAATTATTTAGATTTACACTGATGCTGCGACTGATAAATCAAATGTTAGTGAAAAATTATATAAAAATTACGTAAAAATATATTATATAGGTTTTATATAATTATAAATTAATACACATTTATATTAAAAATTATAGTACAAATTTATATTATAAATTAATACACTTTATATTAAAATTATATAAAACTTATGTAAAAATATATTACATAGATTTTATATAATTTTATATTATAAATTAATACACATTTATATTAAAAATTATAGTACAAACTTGTATTATAAATTAATACACTTTATATTAAAATTATATAAAACTTATGTAAAAATGTATTATATAGATTTTATGTAATTTTATATTATAAATTAATACACTTTATATTAAAAAAAAATTATATAAAACTTACGTAAAAATATATTATATACATTTTATGTAATTTTATATTATAAATTGATACACTTTATATTAATATTATATAAAACCTAATAAGATAGTTACATATGTAATATACAATATAATATGTATTATAATATAACATAATATATAATTATAATAAATATAATATATAATATATAATTACGTATATAATGTGTTGATATGTGATTGCTTCAAAATACGTCAACAGATGCCGTATACACTCGGCGCTCATAATGAAAGAGTTAACGTAGAAAGATCGCACGAGTCTCTTACTTTATGTTACTGAATGTGGTGTTCATTCGCGTCGAACGAAGTTCGATGTTCTTTCAACGGAGTTGGAATGTTTGGTCCCGTGGGACGTCGAAAAGCGCGGGAAAAGGTTCACAAAAGTATTGGTCTCGCGAGCGTGGAGCGAGAGTAGAAGAGAAATTTCCGTGGCGGAAATTGCGAAATTGAGAGCTGTTTGATTGGGTTGTGTTCGAGAAACCAATTTTTGAGACGGTGTCTCTCCGGTAGCCTTCGTCCAACTTTTAAATCGTTTAACACTGGAAACGAAGCGTCAAATTTGTACGAAAGATGTACGAGAACTTGAAAAATTTAATCTTCAAATGCCTTCTATGGATCAACATTAAGAAATATCAACTACATTAGTTAAATGCCACTTTCGAAACCGTCCAACTCGTGTCTAAAACAATTTTTGATACAATTAATCGTTTCGAAAGTATTTCAACTTTTACTTTTAGTCCTACATACGTATACTACTTTACTTTACTTTAGTCTTACATACATACATACTCGCAAGGATACGTATGTATGTATATACAGGAACAGCCATTGAATTCGTATGTAAAATAATTTTTGATACAATTAATCAATCGTTTCGAAAGTATCTCAACTTTTACTTTAGTCTTACGTACATATATTACTTTATTTTAGCCAAGATTATATATGTGTGTATATAGAAGACCAACTTGTGTCTAAAACAATTTTTGATACAATTTATCGTTTCGAAAGTATTTCGACTTTTAATCCTGGTAACTCACTAGGGCACGTATGTATATATGTACGTATATACAAGGATAAGAAAAACCCAAACGAAGACAAATGACCCAAGCTGTTTTCTTCCGCTTACGATCGAGAATCGAAACTCGAGTACGTGTACTGCAGGCAGCGTGGCCCAAGTAAAGGAAGAACTTGCTTTCCAATAAAGAAGCAACTGGACGTGGTATCTTCGCGATTTAAATTAGAAAGCAGCCACCACGTTTTGACGTGGCCGAGAAAACAAACTGGCCACTCCCATTTTTTTCAGCGTTTTCGTCCTCGAGCTTGTTAAAACAGCTTGAAACCCAGCGCCGGAACCCGGAACCTCGCCCAGAAAAAACGTATAAACTTTGCAGAACTTTCAACCCTCAACTTTTCTAATAACGTCGGGACGAGATTCTTACCGCCCCAGTTGAGTAATTATACTTTGCGCGCGACGCAAAAATACGAAAGGAGAGGCACACGTTTGAAACTTGTTTTGAAGCAGCTTATTCTCGTTTATTCTCGAGATTCTCTCCACTCGTTCAAACACACCTCGAAACATCTTGTCGTCCGATCTGTCAGCGAGATTCAACGATTTCTGGTGGGATTGCTCGGAAAGAAAATCGAAACAAAAAAGCGCTGCTTCCTAGCCGTTAATAAATTTAACCTCTTGCGCTAGAATGACGTACCACGCACGTCGAAAATTTTTTGTTCCAAAATTGTAATATTTCCTCAGTTTTAAGTATGTTTAAGTGAAACAGAATAGGCAGAACAAATGATAAATTTATTAGTTCGAAATAATTTCTATCCAGCGACATCGTACCGACCGGAGTTCAAAAAGAAAGCGGCCGAATTATTGTGTACGGTTTGGTCACTCGTTATGGTCCGCAATCAGTTGCCAGCGCAAGTGGTTAACCTCTTATCCAAAAATTGTAATATTTTCACAGTCTTAAGTGTATTCAAGTATAACTCAGGCAAAAAAAAAAAGTAATAAATTTATTACTTACTAGTAATTTCTATTCAGTGATATACCGATGAATTCAAAAGGAAGACGAATTATTGTATACGGTTTGGTCACTCGTTATGGTCCGCAATCAGTTGCCAGCGCAAGTGGTTAATGCACGGTTCCGGGCGAACGTCAAACTCGATCATCCACGGCATTGGAGCACAAGCTTGATGATAAAGTTAGCCGAAATTCTCGGGTACCACTTAAGCGCCAAAGTTTTCAATGAAGCAACGCACCTTGGATGGATACATACCGATTAATTGGCCGCGTGACGTACACGAGAATCGCGAGGCCTCGAAAATCAACTGGATACTTTCAGCCTGATTCCCCCGATTCTCCGATCGGTCAATTAATTAAATCAACGTGCATATGTCGCGTCTCTCTCTCTCTCTCTCTCTCTCTCTCTCTCCTCGATTTTGCCACGCCTTCGAGTTACAGCGCGAT